ACTTTTCTTTAATAAAAGTATTACTAGAAGAACATTAAAACATTCAAAGATACTATAAATAAAAAATGTTATCGATTGCGTACTAGATTATTAAATTGAAATTCTTCTGTTTTACCCTAATTTTTAGATCTTTAGGTCCGTTTTGTCTAAATCTTTAGTTTTATAAAGAAAAAACATTTGATACAATAGTTCCTTCCTTATATTAAGAAAAATATTCTATCCTAAAAAGGTCTAAATAGTATGACAGTAGAATGAACTATAAAAGAGATGTTCTCTTTTTGCTTTAAATATGTTATTGATAGCTTGTTAAATGAAGAATCTTTGGAAACATGGCGGTTAATTGTTTTTGAAGAAGTAGAAACAATTAGAAACGAAAATCGAATTCGAGATATATAAACTATATATAACAAAACTAATACACAATGACATGTTCTATAATAGTGGAATAATTGGGGAAATAGAGGAAGAGCGGAATAGCGACTGACCGACCGCAATATATTTTGAAACGTTCCCTTAGCCATTGGTTATATTATAATATAAAAAGAAGTTTTTTATTTAGATATAAAATTATCGTATCAAAAAAAAATATATACATCAAACATGACAAGTAAAACGAATAGAAAGTACAAAAAACAGATTACTATCTATTCTAATGTAAAAAGAAAAATTTACTTATTCAATACAAAACGTTTTTTAGAACAAATTATTTGGTTCTTATTCGTTGAGATTTTGGTTGTTCATTTTCCATTTTCCATTCGTGTAAAGAAATTAATTTATGGGATGATTTCATTGTTGATGTTCGAGATGGATACAATTTAAATTGATCCAAAAAATTATTTAAACAATGAGAGAATACTCGATTTTGACTAATATTTTCACATGTTTCAGCAAATGCAAATAAATATGTTGCCACAAAAGAAGCATCCACATCAGACTCATTTTTTGATAAATTAAATTCATTTTCTGTTTGAACATATAAGTGACATTCATCAATACAATCATTTATAAATCGAGTGAGACGCGATTTTACCCAACCAATCCATTCTCCTAGTTCCAGTGATGAACAAGCAGTCAGTTTTAATTGCAATATACTTCCATCTGAACATTTTGTATGAGGAAATTGTTTTTTCATATGTAAAATATTCTTTAAAATTGACATGTTACTCTCGTTAGAAACATTTTTCTCCATATAGTTTGATACATTTTTAAAACCTATGAAAAAAGGATAAATGATGATTAAACATAAGAAAAGAAAAGAAAAGAAAAGTAATTTAAAGTAAATTTAAATTTTCTATTTTTACATACCTTCAACAATTAAATCACGTGTAATTTTTGTTGTACCACGTGCCGTATTCATGAATGGTGGTAATGGATGTAAAATTCTCATTGCACCTTTAAATTTAACATCATTGTTATTCACTGTTGTATCACGATGATAGTATGCTTTACGTTTAGGATAAATTCGTACACTCTCATGTGACCAATTAAACTTTGAATAATAATCAAAGAAATAACGTACAAGATCAAAAAATTGATCTAATGTAAAATTTTCTAAATCAGACAATGATTGAATACAATGATAGTTTTCATCAAAATATTCATGACAAACAATAGCGGTCAAAACAGCGTATGAATAACCGCTCAAATAGCCATAAACGTGACCATATAAGCCAACAGATTGAGACCATTGACGAATAAAAGTTAATAAATATTGAAATATGTATGGACAACGTATATAAGATAATAATTGTTCAGCATCATGAACCTAAAATAAACTCAAGTGTAAATCAATGGTTTTTTCTTATTATTAAAATCTAATTTGACATACCCCATGTACAGGATCTTCAAAATACATCAGTCCATTATTCTTTACTAATTGATTATTTAACATTAATTTTTCTTTAATATCAACAAATATTTCTACTCGTGTATTATCTTTAAAAAGGACTGCTATTAATGAGTACAACGCTTGAATATGTCGACATTCAATAACATCATTCATTATTTGTATTTGTTGTTCAAGTATATTCAATATATTTAATTTTGATTCATCACTTGCAATCATACGATCAAAATCTGTCTCTTTTGTTCTATCATAAAAATCACATTCACGTAGAACAAATACAGTATCTAAATCAGCTCCATTTAAACCAAGTCGAAAACTACCGTACGTATAATAATCACTTGTATAACGTTCTAGTGTCATATTGGAAAATATTTGTTTAAAACAATCATTTAAATGTTGAAATTTTTCTAATTTCATATTGTATGATATTTCATTTTCATATAAATTTTCTGAATTAAAAAAATCACGTAAACTAATATCACAATTTAGTTGAGAATAATTTAAACGTTCAAGTACAGAACCAAGTGGCATTTGATATTCGATATGAAACGGTGTATCATCAGTTCGACGTATTACATAAATACTATTTACCAAAAAATGAATAGGATCATTAAGAACTAAAACATTAAAAAAAATATATAAGATAGACACTATCGAACAAAAACTGTAGTTTTTTATGTACAGTAAAACCTTTCCATTGTGAACACCATCGACACTTTTCAAAAGCGTTCACTATAGGAAGATGTTCACTTTAGAGAGATGATGCATGTTTTGCTGGGAAATGAAAAAATATTCTAGAATGTCTGCTTCTACAATGGTTCTGAATTAATTATATTGTTCATCTTTGAAAGTTAGCTCGTGTCGTGATATCATTCTTTTTCTCATATGTACAGTAGTCAGTTTTAGTACGTAAAGCGTAATTAGTATCAGTACAAAAGGGACACATGATAAACAGTAGAGAGAGAAACATCGCACGTATGTTCACATTAGAGAGGTTATAATAGCAGGAGGGACGGAAAAAATAGTGTTCATGTTCAGAATACAGAGGTGTTCACATTAGAGAGGTGCATTTCCAGCAGAAATCGCTCGGTCAGACCTGAGAGCGTGTTCACTGAGGAGGTGTTCACTTTACAGAGTTGTTCACTAATAGAGGTTTTATGTAATATGTTTTTTGTTTTTGAAGAGACATTCAATTTGATCTGAACGACTTAAAAAATTAAACAATATTCTCTCTGAAATTACCTAGAACTGGTTTGTCCATCTTCTTATTATTTGTTTGTGTATTATTTTGTTTAAATTGTGCAACGGTCATATGTGGTGTATATTTTCCATTATTTTGTTTATTCATTTTTTTACAACATTGTGGATATAATTGTTTTAATTGTTCATACATATTTTGAACTAATTTTTTTGATTCATCAGTTAATTTAATGTAGGCAATGTTATTCTCTTTAAAATCATCAATTTCATTTAAATCAATTTCAAATGGTTCTTGTTTGGTTAATAATAATCTTAATTCAAATAATAATCTTTCATCATATTCTTCATAAAAAGGATAGATAAGATTGATGTGAGGTGGCCATCGTGTATATGACGGATCATATACTTCTCTTATACTTTGAATTTGACTCCATGTATGATATGGTGGAATAATAACAATAGATGATTTTGGAGTTATTTTTCGTCCTTTTAAATGTAAAACACATTGAAGACCATAATGATCGGATGGATTTAGACTAATATCATCTTGACTATTTACAATGTATGTTTCTAATCCAATCATATTTAAATGTTCAATATCATAATTTAATTTTGATTGTAATAAATAACGATCAACACGACGATTAATCATTGTATCAGATGTGATTTTAGCGCATAAATTATGAGATGGATCAAATGTATAACCAGGATTCTATAATATAGAAATAAAATTACTAATAAATTAAAATATAAAATCAATTTAGTTTTACATCAAATCTATCCTTATCCTATGCACAAAAAAAAAAAGCATATTTAACAACTCACCTCTTCTAAATCATAAACATCTTTCCATAAATCATTAAACATTTGATTATGTAAAAAATCTTGCTCTTTCATATCATTATCTCCAAAATTAAAATCGCCCATCAATAATAAATTATCACTTAGATTTTGCATATTTGATATGAGATGTTTTAATGAATTACAACGTTTATTATCAGCATTCTTGGAACGATTACTGTGCAAATGTAAATTAATAATATCAATAATATTGTTTGTAGATGATTTTAAACCAAATCTGGCTAAAATAATTTCTTTTGTCGTTTTCATTGTTGTTGTTTTTTCTTCTTGTTCTTCATTTGTTAATAATGGTAAAAAATGAACAGAATAGGGTCGAATATTTTTCGATAATAAAATTTGTCCATAATAATTTTGTTCTTTATATTTTAAATTTTGACTTAATATAATATTTTTCATAATAACAACATGATAATTTTCATTTTTTAACCATGCTTCACTTAATAATAATTCTAAAAATTCATATGTCACTTCTTGTAAACAAACGATATCAGGCAATAATGATTTCAAAATATTTAATATATGACGATAACGTTCACTACTATAAATTTTAGTTTTATGATGATAATCAAAAAGTATATTCCATGTTAAGAAATGACAACGATCAGGTAATAGACTTTCAGACGGTATAATATCATCTCGATCATTTTCATTCATTGGTTTCAATGAAGTTTCTATAGAACAAATCATCCATTGTTTTGTTTCGATATCATATTTATAGACACCTTCATGGGTAATTATATTGTTCGATACTAAAGACGAAAAGAAACAAAATTATCATATTATAAGCTCTCAATAAATCGATTTCAAAACATCCATCAGTATATCTAAATCTGAGAAGAAATAAAAAAATAACTAAAAACTCTTCTTTTTGAACAATCAAAACTAACAATCAACATATTCCATTTGGATTTAACATAGTACCATACCTTCTAGTGAACGCTGTTCTGAATCATTTCCCATGGTTGTTTGAATTGTCTCCGAACCCGTTAGTATATCATATTTTCTTGTTCTATCCCATACAATTTGATTATTGATTTTGTAATATCTGACTCGATGCATCGGTACACCATACTCATGATCTAGAACTTTTTTCCATTCACTAAATGCTATTTCTTGAATACCTTTAAATCTATCTAGATAGCCAATAGTAACTGTTTTTGGATCAATTGATTTATCCCATGATATTCGATTGAATATAGAAATAGTATCTCGAAATTTTGTTTCTGCTGCTGCTTCTTGTTGTTGAGATAATGATTTTTTAGATTTATTCGGCTTTATTCTTGCAGCCGTTGCTAGAAGTAAAATTTTATCTTGTAATCTTTGAATTAAATCATAGATGGTAACTTGACTTTGTTTTATTTCATTTTCAAAATATGTTTTTATTTGTGTCCATATATCGTTAGTTAATGTACAATTATTGGATTTTGTCAAACGTAACTCATAAACATTTGAGGTTGTTAATATTTCTTGAGTACGTGCAGAATCAAATAAAAATTGTAAATTAAGATCATAATTCAATTTAACACAAAATGATTCAAAATCGCCAGATTCACGAATTTGAACATCTAATTTTAACTCTGTATGGAGCTGTTTTACTAGAGTATCGACAAATGATACTTCATTGTTTATATCTGATTCTTGTCCTGCCATGGTGTTAAACTGGCAAATGCGTATTAACCTAAACAAAGAAAATAAACAACGATATTTAGGGCTAGTGAATATTTTTGTCGGATAATACAACTATAATAAGGAAAAGAGAGAAGTATGTACAAAAAACTGTTTGAAACTTCACGTATTATTCTTTTAAAAACATAGTACCCATGGATGTTTTTTGAATAACTTTCGAGGGAAAGGAGCTAGAGACTTGCGGATTTCGCTGTTTGATAGAGGACAGTTAGTGATATCGATGTATGGAAAGATAAAACTGCTATCTGCAGGCGGTGTATCTCAACAATACTTTTTATTAAGATCACCTACCTGTCTCTGTCTGTTTAGCCCTGATAACGTTAAAAAATAGTTCCATACTTAAATTTTCAACTATGCTAAGTCTCATAGTAACATTTGTTTTCAGAAGAAAATTCAAGAAACTAATGAAAATCTATACTAGGTAAGATAATCCATTTTTGGCTATTTTCACCAAAAATTAAAAAATTCATAATTCAGTCAAAATTGATCGCAAAAATATTTCCAAGGGTTTCTAAAGAATCTCCCAAACTCGAGTACTTTCTATTGAGTCCGAGAACTGTTGAGCTTCAGAATATACAGCAGACAGAATGGAGTATATACTGAAATTTTGGTGTAGTTTGGATTGATTTTGACTGAGTTATGAATTTTTTAATTTTCGATGAAAGTAGCCAAAAAATGGATTATCTTACCTAGTATAGATTTTCATTAGTTTCTTGAATTTTCTTCTGAAAACAAATGTTACTATGAGACTTAGCATAGTCGAAAATTTAAGTATGGAACTATTTTTTAACGTTATCAGGGCTAAACAGACAGAGACAGGTAGGTGATCTTAATAAAAAGTATTGTTGAGATACACCGCCTGCAGATAGCAGTTTTATTTTTCCATACATCGATGTCACTAACTGTCCTCTATCAAACAGCGAAATCCACAAGTCTCTAGCTCCTTTCCCTCAAAAATTATTCAAAAAACATCCACGGATACTATATTTTGAAAAGAATAAATAATATTAATGTTCAGTAATCTTATTCAGTAATTTACTACACATCTGCTTGTCACTTGTCTTGTTCTTTTGATTTGTGGAAAACATAATGTTGACTTATGAAGTTCTACATACCTCGAGTAGCAAATAAGAGAGTTAAAAAACCCTTTGCAAATAGAAATTAACTTCAACCAGGTCGTTTATATAGTGTACACGTAGCAGGAAGGAAAACGTCATGTAATTTCAAAATCAAAATTACGAAATTTCATAATTACGAAATTTCATAGAAATATTATATTTGTTCATTTGAATTGGTGATAATCGATTATTGACAAGAAAAATAGATATCTTACGAAACAGCATGATAAATAACTGTAAGTTTGTCAAGTATTAAAATCAGCCCAAAAACAAATAGTTTTCATTTGAAAAACAAATAATCAATGATACAAATAATAGAGAACAAATAAGATCTCTTTTCGCACATGTATATCTTTCAGTACAGTTCTCTCTTTCTTTTCTACCAATGCGGTCAGACGAAAAAAATGTCCGCACATGGAATATCTTACATGGAAAGAGATTTCTCCCTAATAGTTAAATTCCTTGTACAAGGACAGTGTTCTGACATGTATTATATGAGCTGAAGTGACAAATCGAAACCAGATTTGGTCTGTTGCGACACCTATGTTCATGTGTATTTGACAAAAACGACCAATTAAAAGGTGTCCTAAAAAACTGGTCGTATTTCACCTCACTTTACCGTTGTCATGTTTTTATATTCTGTTATGTTCCTGTGATATGGCGTTGTCAAACTTATTGGGGTACAGGATCTATCTAAACAGTTTTTCTATGTCAGATTTTTCTTTGCAGATGTATACCATCCATGATGGTTAGCGGCGGAACCCGGATTTCGTGTTAGGCAGGGCTCAGCCCATCACTTTTCTGCAGTTCGGTCTGAAGTAGTGCTAATAAATTTAAGCTGAATTTCAGCAAAAATTTTAAAAACTGTCTAGGCGGGACTCAGAGCTTTCTAAGCAGGACTCAGCTCAGTCTAGCCCTGTTGGTGGCTCCGCCACTAATGATGGTTGATGATATCATCGGTAAAGAAGTTAGAAACACATATATCATGCGAATTAGTAACAGTAACGAAAATAACTGAAACGAAAATAGTCCTTCTGATGAGAAGTTATCAGTAACAAAAAAACAAACAGTATGATTAGAAATATTTGATAGAAAGTCAATAAAAAACTTTTCAGAAGTTTGTTGCGTTGTTCATGTTAAAAGATAAGAAATACTTGTGTAGGGTGAATGATTTTGCGAAGGTATTTTGTTGAAAACTCACAATCATTATGTTTTCTCTTTTTTTCGGAAAGCAAACATTGCTACATGATTCAGAAATAATAATAATATATTTCAATATATATATAATTTAATAATATATTAAATAATTAATGTTTCCAGATCTCAATGGTTCGGCTTCAAAACAGAATGAATCCGTTTGTTTTCTGAATAACTTTTGTAAAAATTCTCAGGACTTTCCCTCGTCAGAACAAAAAACGAAGTTTTAAGTGTAGTGAGGTTTTGGGGGCAAAATGGCTGGCTGTTTTTGTACTTTCTGTTCCCTCTTCCACTCAGATGTGGTCGGACGGACAGGACATGAACAGCGTAGTATTTTGTGATTTGTAACTGACTGTTTTATCTTCTCTCGTTGGTGTCAGTCTCATCACTTTTCTAGTGATATATCTCTACATTCACGAAAAAACAGTCTAATATTTTTCAAATAAGATGGTGACATTTTTATAGATGTCAGCATTTTATCTAAGAATTTCTAATCATGCACAAGTTTTATG